GAAGAACGGTTACAGGAACTGGGCTTGGCTAGTCTAGGGAAGAGAAGGACCAGGGGAGACATGATAGTGGTCTTCCAATATTTGAGGGGCTGCCACAGAGAGGAGGAAGGGGTCAAGCTATTCTCCAAGGCACCTGAAGGCCAGACAAGGAATAATGGATGGAAACTGAACAAGGAAAGATTCAATCTAGAAATAAGGAGAAATTTTCTGACAGTGAGAAGTATCAACCAATGGAACAGAAGTTGCCAATGGAAGTTGTGGGAGATTGGACTGCTCTTGGAACGCTGACAACTGCCATTTGTCAGAAATGGTGTAGGTCTCCTGCTTGGGTGGTGGGTTGGACTAGATGACCTACAAGGTCCCTTCCAACTCTGTTCATCTGTATTTGTATCTGGATAACTGGTCTATCAAAGATGGCAACTTGTTCTCCGAATAAGACCTTCTGGCAATATTTTTTAAGGTTTTGGGGGGGGGGGGAGGGAGAAAACAGGACATTTTCAGAATACCTCCAGGAGACCCAGGCATACAGATCTGCTTCCATGTTCTACTTGCAGACCCAACATTCGGAAAGCAATCCGTGCCCGAATTCATGTAAAAGCTAGAGGAATTTGATGACAAGATAGCCTTAATGCGTATGGATGGGTTGGGGAGTTGGAGGCTACAATAATCTTTTCCAGGTGACTAGATTTCCATGTTTCTGTGTCCAGAGGAGTTGCCTTCTAGATCAGTCGTTTTGGTGCAGCCGTGAGGCTGATCCTATCTGAAGGCTATGCCTTTCTCAGAAATTAAAACTACAGCTCCATTTAGAGGGAAATTCTGAATGACTAGTTAAATCAGCTTTGATTGTGCTAAGTCTCAAGATAATATAGGTCAATGTATGCTCCAGGATGTCTGGCCCCATCAAATCAAAACACCTAGACTCGAGTTGGTTGCTTTGAAGATTCCACAGGACCTCAGGCTGATCGAAACAACAGTGGGCTTGTATGCCTGTTGGTGGTACTTTCTGTCCCATTAATTTTGGATAATAGGACATCAGAATTCCGTTGTGGGAAAGCCTGAGAAATGACTAGTACATCTGTAGAATGCAAATGAATTGCACACGATCTAGCTGGGTGCTGATTAAAAAAAGGGGGGGCAGGACTCTTTTTTTTGGGGGGGGGGGGGGAATCTCATGTATTAAAATAATTTTAAGTGAAATCTAAAAACGAATGGACTTGAAATGTCGTTCAAGGCATGGCAGGCAACATTCCACCCAAACTCCACTAGGAGCACATTAACTTGATGTTTATATGACAACTGACGTGAGCATTTTTAAAATAAAGATAGGATCGCAGGTTGAACCTGCTGTTCCCTCCAAGCAGGGGGGGAATGCAAACATTGTCAGATGGAGGATAAGGAGAAGTTAGGCTTCACTACTATATAAATGGGTGAAATGAACTCAGCAGTGGGATCCACAGAACCTGCCTGCAGGTGAGAGGACAGATGAGTGAAGGTATAATGGAAGAGGGCACATGCTTGTTCCATTGGGTGGGATTGCCATGTGTCTAGATGGGTTGAATAATGCTACTATTCGGGCAACAAGCTGGGAAGTCGTGTCTGACTATAATGGAGTAGACCAGGGGGTCTGCAACCTATGGCTCTGGAGCCATATGCGGCTCTTTTGGCCCTCTGCTGCGGCTCCCTGTCAGCTGATCCCACCACTGGCTGGCACCTCCCCATCACTCCTCGCCTGGCCTGAGAAGGTAAGGGTGATGGTGGAGGATGGAGACTCATTCCATATTCCAGAGCGGGAGGCGACTGGGTGGGAGTGAGTGACGTCGAGTTGTCCATGCCCACCCAGTCACACCGGTTGTTAAATTATTGGCTCCTGGTGTTTTCTTTCCTGTGGGAAACGGGTCCAAATGGTTTTTGAGTGTTTAAGGTTACAGACCCCTGGAGTAGACCAAGAGCAAACTACAAGCTAAAACAAGCCTAGGGTTTCCTTTCTCTCAAATTGTATAGTTTCAAGAAGAAATTTGGAAATTCGTGGTGTTACTTAGCCCAGTTTTGTCATGTTATCCGGCTAACTATGGCCAATGCTAAATTTGATTTCTCAGCATTTCCAATGAAGCAGGTTACTCTGAATGCACCATTGTTGGCTTGAACCAAATCAAGAACGCATATGAAATGCTGAAGAGTTGCTGGTGGTGCAACTATTATTAGGTGTTGTACCTTATGATTTCTGACTCTTGACAAATGTATCTTTTCTTTTATGTACACTGAGAGCATTTGCACCAAGACAAATTCCTTGTGTGACCAATCACACTTGGCCAATAAAGAATTCTATTCTATTCTATGGTGCTAATGTAAACAAAGAGCAAAATTGTTAACTCTTCTTTAAGATCACTGTGGTGAGAGGAGAAAAAAGAGGGGCACTAGAACCCCCAAGCTAAATGTGCCTCTGCTCCTCTGGCTAACCCAAAGTGTACAACTTCCATTTGTTCGTAAGTAGCATTATGCTTTGCATGTCATGCTAAAGGTTGCATTGCTGTATCAAATTGTGCATGGGCAGGATTCAAGATCAGCCCAATTATTGGCTGGAGATGGATGCCCGAAGCCTCTGTAAGACTCAAACACCTATTTTGTCTCTTTGGCAACCTATGAAAAGGTCCACTGAAAAGATGCCAAAGAGGTCCTTGTGGTTTGTATAAAGTTACATGAACTCTGCTCCTTTGCTAAACTATGGTTTGGCACGACATCTTAATGTGTTAGTCTGGTTCACAATACAAAGCCAGAGTGTAATGAATGTGTAAATGAAGGTGAAGATTCAAATCCTTCTTCCCTTGGCAAGTTGCTTACTTAAAGGCTGTATTCTTACAAGGAGTATAAAATAAATACAGCTCCTTCTGTTCTTTCAATATGCTGCATACATACTGTAACATAAGACCCTCGGCTTAAAGTAAAGGAATCCTTTCCAGGCCTGGTTTAAAAAATAAAGAAAATAAGGAAAAGCGGGTGGCTTAAAATTATTCATCCCTTGGATTTTGAGTAGCAGGCACTCCAAGGTCTCCTGATTTCTCTTTCCTGTTGTGGTGAGAACTATGGTATTCCTATTTAACTGATTGTTCTTTCAAAATGCGTATGTATGTGCATGCATAAAATATACAAATCTGTTCCTTTTTTTATTATGCATGCCTTCTTCTTTCCCATAAGTTTGTTTTATAAGCACTGTGATAATCTAGTTAATTTTTAAGGAGTCACAGGGCTATTCTGTTTTTCTGGGACGATACCAGTAGATTCTTCTAAACTAAGTTCTTAGGAATGCTTTGGAGAATAGCAACAATGGAACCATGATGGACACTCATATCTGCTTTAAGCTTATTGGCGTTTCAGGTATCGCATCCAAGAACCGTTGATCTGAAGGCTTTCTCTTTCTTCTTTTTGAACAGCTATGGGGAGGATAAAAGACTTCCTCCTCTGCTTCTGGCTCTGCAGCTCAGCCTTCTGGGGTGAGTAACACCTTTGTTTTAAAGAAACTGTTTCTTGCTCCATCTGTTGAAATATAATTGAACTCTTCTCATTGAGAAAGAGATTGCCATCATCATGTTCATTTTCTTTTAATGACCCCATAATACTTTGTGGGGTGGAATCTGGGCAACTGAATGGAGCTAGCAGGGTGTTTTAATGGCCAGATGCCCTTCCTGTCACCAATGCGGAGTTTTGTTCAGCAGATATATTCTCAGTGTGCCCAGAGAGAGAAATATCTGCCTCTACGTAGGATCGAACTCACAGCCTCCTGATTGTGAGGTGAGAGATCCACCTGTAGGCCACTGCACCACTCTGTCAGCTGATGTATGTAGGTGCTAAGTGGCATCTCTGTACTTCCCTGAGATGTCTGCAGAAAAATATTGCATGACTGTGTTTTTCTGTGGTGTCTTCCCCTGGGACCTCAGGAAGAATGCCTGAGAATCATGACTGAGGCTTTAAAACGGCATAAAGACTATCCACAATAATTTCATGAAAGCCAAGATTGCTGGCTTCTTCAACTAAAAATTGCCCAACTTTATCCTAATTTCTGGGTTTTATTTCTATCCTCCTTTCAGCCTCTGAGTCCAAAAACAGTCATAATTCAGAGCATGACCTGGGAACACATAATGAAATTAGTTCGTTTGAATCCTAGATAAGGGGGATTAATAACAGGGGATGAAGGAGCAGTTCCTAATTCTTTCTTTTGTCTATGGAGATTCTCAGTCATTCAGATCATGGTTGTCCCAAAGTTGCTCTTTCAAGAGGCAATGGGACTTTTGTTGTTTTTCCGTGAAGATGTTTTCACTTCTCATCCAAGAAGCTTCTTCAGTTCTTCAGTCAGCCATCCTTCCTCCAGAACTGGATGAGAAGCGAAATGTCTTCAAGGAAAAACAAAAGAAATTCCCTTGGGAAAAAAAAAGCACCTCTTGTCAGCTTTGGAAGTTATATTGACACTGGACGCTTCCGTGCTGCCACATTCTTAAGCTTGGGAAAGTGGGAGGGGGGAATTTCTTGGAGTGTATGTGGTTAGACATAATAACATTCTTCTTCTAAGCCAAGGTCATGTTATTTCTGCACCTGGGTGAGGGAAAATCTCAAGTTGGGACGAATGGTGATTGGGGCATGTGATGCGATGATGGGTGAAGGGGGGTGGATTTGTAGTTTTTTACTTATTGCAAGGAAGCCCGGAACTTTCAGATTTGGGATTCCCCAGATGTGCCAGTTTACTATCCAATTAAACAGAACTTTTGAGAAGATATTTGTCTCGGAGTTATTTGTTGGAGTGGAGGTTTTCTGGAACACTGACACCTTTGGCACAATCCTTCTTTTGGAACAGAAGTTAAAATGGGATTGAAGCTGCAACTACAACAGAAGTTGGACCTTGAACAGATCCAGTGTAACCATTTCTCCCTCCCCCCATCTCTTCTTTTCATCTTCCCCTCACAGCGACCTGCCTGAGTCAAAGCATAGGAAGAGAATTTATCACCGCTTACATGCAAAATTATGGCACACAGACCGCCAACTTACAGATTCAAATTACTGGTGTCTTTGACCAGACTACCGTCACTGTTTCTGTGCTGTGCAACGTTTGTGGAAAGGAATTTACGAAGACCGTTACCGTGTACAAAGGAAAGCTGCAGTCTGTTGTCCTCCCACCCTCTATTGAAATTAAAGGTAGCAAAGTGTTCCCGAACGTGGTGCGCATCTCTGCAGACAAAGGCATCTCGGTGGTCTCTTTGAACTCCAAGCCTCTGAGTACTGAAATTGCACAACTCTTTCCTAGGAGCCTTTCAGGAACTGAGCATTATGTGGTCACCCCAACAGGAGGTCCCACTGGCTCTTTCCCGGAGTTTGCGGTCTTATCTTATGAAGGGCCTAATGTGGTAGACATCTATTTGACGACCCAGGTGACCTTCAACAGGAAAACGTACACTGCTGGAAGTAAACTCACCGTAACACTGCAGGCTTTGCAAGGAATCCAGCTGCAAGGAACAGGGGATCTTTCCGGCACCAGAATTGTCTCCCAGACCTCTGTGGTAGTCTTAGCAGGTCATACCTGTTCATGGAAATACAAAAAATGTAACCATGTATTTGAGCAGCTCCAACCAGTGAAGGCATGGGGGAAGAACTACATAGTCCCACCAATACCTTGGCAGGCGAAGAGTGACATCGTGTTTATTTCAGCCTCCCAAACCACAGCCATACAATACCAAATGGGTGCACAAAAGCAGGCAGTAATCCTGAATGGTGGGCAAGTCCTGACAATCAACATGTTGTCTAAAACAGCGTTATTCGTGCAAGCCGATGTGCCCTTCCAAGTACTTTTCTATAGCACAGGCGCTGCTTACCAAAACCTTTTGTACGACACTTTTTTGATAGGGATTCCAGATACCAGCATGTACAGCCAGACGTATAGTGTGATTGGCCAGGCTAATTTTCAGAACTTTGCCATTTTGGTGGTGGAGACTCAGCAGATCAATGGGCTGCTAGTAGGAGGCCGGCCCCTACCTACGTTGCAATGGACTCCGATTCCTGGCACAGTTTTCTCTTGGGCCTTGTATCAGTTGCAGGTGGCACTTGTCCCCTACAGAGTGGAACATCCAAATTCACCATTTGGCCTTCTCATTGTGGGCGTGACCAGCCAGGACAGCTACGGGACTGTTGGTTCTAGTATGCAAGGTGAGTAGAATGTCTTCTGACTTATAAGTTTGTGGAGGGGTGGAATGGGAAGATATTTGGAATATTTAAGAGCTGTGGTGGCGCAGTGGTTAGAATGCAGTACTGCAGGCTACTTCTGCTGACTGCCAGCTGCCTGCAATTTGGCAGTTCGAATCTCCCCAGGCTCAGGGTTGACTCAGCCTTCCATCCTTCCGAGGTGGGTAAAATGAAGACCCAGATTGTTGGGGGCAATGTGTTGATTCTGTAAACCGCTTAGAGAGGGCTGTAACTTTCAAAGCCCAGAGTCAGGTCTGAACGTCACTGAAAATAGAATGACATTCTGCATTGAATCTGATTCCTCCATTGACATAGGACTAATGATTAAAATTTCATATCTGGTCCTTAGGTCCTCTCAGCTGCAGCCATGTCCTGTGTCAAAAGGGCCTTGAATGCAAGATGATCAATGGTGCGCCGCACTGTGTGCCAACTTCGAACGGTACCTGCTGGATCTGGGGCGACCCTCACTACAATACATTTGATAAGCACAAGTACGATTTCCAAGGGACCTGCACCTACACAATTGCCAAGACGTGCGGCAATAACTTCAGACTCCCGTCTTTCCACATCTATGCTAAGAATGGAAACAGAGGGAGTAAACGTGTCTCCTATGTCGAGATGGTGACCATTGAGGTTTATGGATACACGATCACAATCACCAGATCAGAAAATAGTTTTGTGAAGGTAAGAGATGATTCAGAACTGATCTCAGCTACATTGATAATTGGTTCCCAACACCACTGAGATCAGAGTTTCACCTTAACCATTTTAAGATGGGTGGACTTCAACTCCCAGAATACCCCTGCTTAAGCAAGGAAAACCAAATGCACATGTATAGAGTAGGTGACTCAACAGCAGTAACTGTGAAAGGGATCTAGGAGTCCTAGTGGACAACTACTTAAGAATGAGCCAGCAGGGTGCTGCAGCTGCCAAAAAAAAAAACCCAATACAGTCCTAGGTTGCATCAACAGAGGGATAGCATCAAGGTCATGTGAAGTGTTAATAGTGCTTTATACTGCTTTGGTAAGCCCACACTTCTAATACAGTGTTCAGTTTTGGTCACCACGATACAAAAAAGACGTTAAGATTCTAGAAAGGGTGCAGAGAAGAGTTACAAAGATGATTAGGCAACTCTGTTATTCTATTCTATTTTATTCTATCTCCAAGGTCCCTTCCAACTCTTATATTCTGTATTCTCTGAGTCCACATATCTTTAAAATGGCTGAGGTTGGGAAACACTGGTTTAGATGGCCTTTCTCCACCCATTCAAATTTGTAAAATGATTGTAGTGATATTTATTTTTATTTATTTATTTTTGTCAAGCATGCATTTGATAATATATATAAGTATAAACATGATTAAGAGTACATGAAATGGGTATGAATAAAAGGGGTCATTAGGACAGGGGCGGTAGGCACGTAGTTGCGCTTATGCACGCCCCCTACAGACCTCTTAGGAAAGGGGTGAGGTCAACAGTAGACAGTCTAAGGTTAAAGTTTTTGGGGGTTTGGGGAAGAAACCACAGAGTCAGGTAGAGTATTCCAGGCATTGACCACTCTGTTGCTGAAGTCGTATTTCCTGCGATCAAGTTTTGTGCGGAAATGCTATACTTATTTGTACCATTCTTCAAAAATCAGAACATGAACATTTTGTCAGCTAACATAAAATCTAGAGATGGAGTGAAAGGCAGGTGCCGGGTTAAGGTGGTGTTCTGACCCAAACCCTTTTCCAATAAAACAAACACGAATCAAAGGGAACCTTTTAATGATTCTTAAAAATCCCCGGTTAAAAGGCTGCTGCAAACTAATTAACTTTGATAAGCACAAGCCTCGCCAAAACTGTGCGAGACTGCCAAGAATCATAGATAAGAAATATTTCACAACACAAGAGTCTTCAAATACCAACTTAACATAGTGCAATGTCCACAAGGCTGGAGTTTCAAAATGTCTGCTTCCTACAAAGAACATCTGATTCACAGCTGGCTTTTATCTTCTTGAAGGAGGGGCCATTACTTTGCAGCCTTACTTCCGAGTCACCCATGCTGCTGTAACTACTCTCTCCTAAGAGCAATCCTGCGCACACGCGCACTTGGCACAGGCTCCTCGGGAACCTCCTCATCGCTGCTGCCAGCCCCCACAATCTCTGAAGGCAGCAGCCCACTCCCCAATGGTCCTGGCCCCTCATCTGAGTCCTCGCTCTCCTCAGCCGTCCGCACCTGCTGCCGGCTCACTACAACAGGTGGTCCTGAGAAAAGACTACCTGATAACATTTCCAAGACTTATTTCGGGTTCATAGGAAACCTGGTGAAGGTGAATTCAAAGATAGTTTTTATTATTTGCTCTAAGCCCTTCTTAGAACAAGGACAACTGGCCTATTTTTGTAGATTTAACGTAACGGCTGCAGATGTTGGTTTAATTTTTGGAGCAGTAGTTAAGATAAGAAGCTAAAAAAAGGAAAACATAGCATCTCCTTAAATATAGCAATTAAATACATACATAGAATTAACTTTAAAGGAAACGCAGAATGAGCAAAGCAAGCAGAACAAGAATCAAAACTCAGATTTATTTATTTAAAATAACGTTAGGCTGATTTTCAAGGCAAAACCTCCCCCGCAAAAAAAGAAAAAAAGCTTTTACATTGTTGGTGGAATGCTATTTTGCATACAATGTGTCATAAAATATTCATTTAAACCTACAGCGTAGGTTTAAATTAGTCATAACAAAGCCCCCTTTTTAAGTTGATTTCACGCAATATGCTGCTTTAACAAAATGCAATGGCGGCATTCACAAAATTACTGAGACAGAAAAATAAATCGGAACATGGCGCAATATAGTGTCTGCTTCACACAATAGTTGGGCACCTTCAGCGTGCTAAAATATCAACTACGCAACCCTATTTTAGTTTAGAGTAGTGTGTTATGCAAACTCAGCCTACGTTTTCCTAGGATGAAGAATTTCTCATGTCCGGTTGCTCAATATACTTCAGGCTTCCCTGGAAAATAATTCCTTGCTATTTTAGAGAGTAATATTCAATTGAAATTAGAGCTTTTCTTGATGGGGTTATTTGACAACCAATTGGAAAAGAGCCACAGAAGCTTATTTTTTTTAATCTATGATTACTGTTATGAGATATGTTATTTGCAGAAAAGTAGAAAGATTTTTAAATATCTGCAATGGAGGAATAGTTGGTGAAGATGAGAGAATTAGCAGAGATAACAAAAGTGACTTGTCCGATTAGGGAAAAGAGATTACATTTATTCGTGACTGGAAACCCTTTATGGACTTTTTACCGGAAAAAAAAAATTACCTTATGATTTAAGGGGTTTGATGATTAGAAAAGGTAAACTATAGAAAGAAGGAAATTATGCTGTGATCTTAAAATAGGATAAAATATAAATGAACTTGTAACTGCTGTGAAGATCAAAAGCGACTTCTTTGCATCTTTTTTCTCTTTTTTCTTTTCTATTTATCACTTTCCTTTTACTTGTCTTTACTTCCTTTTTCTTTAAATTTTGATATTTTAAAATTATTTATGAAAAGTTAAACGCAAATATAAAACTCAGATTCTTAAATCCCCTTCTTATTAGTTTTATAGTCTTTTATTTATTTATTTTCTTGCCTCCAACCCTGGGTCAGGAGGACACTAAAATGATTTAATTATTGTGGTTAATGATAATATTATTGCAGTTGAAGCTGACAACTTCAGCTTCAACTCAGTGGTGGGATTCAAATTTTTTTACTACCAGTTCTGTAGGCGTGGCTTGATGGGCATGGCAAGGGAAGGATATTGTTAAAATCTCCATTCTCACTCCATTACAGGGGAAGGTTACTGCAAAATCCCATTCCCTCCGCACCCCACTAGCCTGCTTTCCAACTCTGTTCTCCTGTGCAGGGCAACAAAAGGAGACCCAGCCAATCAGCTGGGACTCAGGAGGCAGAGAATAGATGGAGGCGGGGCTAGTCAGAGGTGGTATTTGCTGATTCTTCAAACTACTCAATTACAGGTTCTCCAGAACTGGTCAGAACCTGCTGAATACCACCTCTGCTTCAACCTCAATAACACACAGGCGAACAATAGATACAAACTCAAAGTAAACAGCTCCAAACTCGATTGCAGAAAATACGACTTCAGCAACAGAGTGGTCAACGCTTGGAACTCACTACCTGACTCTGTTGTTACATCCTCAAACCCCCAAAACTTTAACCTTAAACTGTCTACTGTGGACCTCACTCCATTCCTAAGAGGTCTGTAAGGGGGCGTGCATAAGCGCACCAGCGTGTCTAACATCCCTGTTTATTCATACTCATTTATTATGTATATACTTCTACCTGTTTATACTTATATGTTTATACATTATGTTCATACTTATACTTGTTTTCTCATACATGCTTGACAAACAAAACAAAAAACAAGCAAACAAACGAACAAATAAATAAATGAAATATCTTGGCAATCGCTTCCTTTCCAGATGGGGATCCAGATTGCAATTGCTTCTGTTTGTTGTTGCAATGTTGCAACCTTTGCAATTGTCCTTTCTTCTAATGCAGGTAAATGGCATTCGGGCACATCTCCCCATCTACCTAAATGGTGGCTCTCTCCAGATCTTCCAAAGTGGAGGTTCTGCTGTAGTGGTCACTGAATTTCATCTCCGGGTGTCTTATGACTGGAACCAACAACTACGCGTCACCGTCAGTAGTGCTTTTCAGGGAAGTCTCTGTGGCCTTTGCGGGAACTATAATGACGAACCTGGAGATGACTTCCAAACTCCAGCAGGAACGAAGGCCCCAGATGCCAACGCCTTTGGCAAGAGTTGGAAGGTGGATGTTGGCGACCAAGACACATGTTGGGATGATTGCCATGGGCCTTGCGTGCCTTGCCAAGCTGATCAGGCCCAGAAATACCAGTCTGAGCAATATTGTGGTTTAATAAAGTCTCCCGGTGGTCCCTTCTCTCCTTGCCATTCTAAAGTGGACCCTGGCTTCTACCTTGAAGGTTGTGTTTACGATGTTTGCGCCAATGAAGGACACAGACAATCGGTATGTGATGCCCTGGAGTCTTACGCAGATGCCTGCCAGAAACATGGGGTCCAGATTGGTGAATGGAGAAAATTGGCCGGATGCTGTAAGTATGCAAGGAATTCAATAAGATGGTGTTGGAAAAAAATATCCCTCTGGTTCAGTTCCAAGCTGAGAGGAAGCCACTGGAGATAAAATGGAGGCCAGAGGCTGATTGGAAAGATGGTTTAATGAAGAAGCAGAACCTCATGGGTTTGTGATTCTGGGAAGCTGACCACATGGAATTGAGAATGTGGGGTTTTTTTTATACCTTCTCTGAGCTTTGCACTTGAGCTTCCTGTTCCTGTGCAAGAACATACATTCTATTGGCTGTTGTAGGGGTTATGTAGGAGTCATAGCTGGCTCTATAGGTTGTCCGAGCTAAGTTTGGTTGAAGTTTGGTCTGCTCTAAGATGATGTAATGAAGGAGCTTGTATTCTGAAAGGGTGTTGGACAATTCCTAATATGGCTTAATGGTTTTGTCCTGGTTTGGATCTTGAGTCAGGGCTAATTTTACCTTTGTTCAGACCTTGCTGCAGGGAATTTTTGCCTTTGAATGGAGCTACCTAGATACTTGGCTTCTTTCAACAAGCTGTTTATCTCTTAAGTGCTGACATCTGCTGAGGGCTATTAAGAAAGTGGGGGCTGCTTTCTCCCTCTTAAAAAACCATGTTTCTCAATTGCTTATCCAGGGAAATACAATATTCTGCGTTTTTTTAAATATTTCTCTATTTCATTTTTCTAGGAGAGGGGTGGGGGCTAACTTTCTACAGTGGGAATGCTGACCCCCAGCCCCACCTCATTTAAAACAAGTGAGAACCGGATGCAAAGTATGCGATTCAAAGGCACAATGTAAAACATTACCTCGGGGCTATTTGTGGTGCTTGGTCGCTGACACATGATAAAATTCAGGAGCTAATTGTGTAAACTAGCCCCAAGTTCCTCCATTATCAGTTAAAAGAACCTTGCTCCAAAAGCTGTTAGAGAGAAACTGAGATGCACAGGCAGTTCTCAATTTATAATAGTTCGTTTACTGACCGTTCAAAATTACAACAGCGCTGAAAAAAGGGGGACTTAGGACCGTTTTTCACACTTATGACCATTGCCGTATCCTCACGGTCATATGATCAAAATTCAGATGCTTTTCAACTGACTCATATTTATGACGGTTGCAATGTCCCAGGGACGTGTGATCCCCTTTTTGCAACCTTCTGAGAAGCAAAGTAAATGGGGAAGCCAGATTCACTTAACGACTGTGTTACTGACTTAACAGATGCAGGGATTTGCCGAATTAATGTGGCAAGAAAGGTTGTAAAATGGGGCAAAAATTCACTTAACAACCGCCTCGCTTAGCAACAGAAATTTTGGGCTCACTTGTGGCCGTAAGTTGAGGACTACCCGTACCATGGGTGAAATGGTCATAAATAGGAACTATGGAGGAGCTGAAATTCTTGTAAGCCCCCCTGTCGCTTTCATCTCAATAAATCTCATTAAATAAGTTTGCTAGACAATCTTGAATGGAAAGAATTACTTTCAGTTTGAGCTGCCTTCCAGAGACCCTGTGCGTGTCTTAATTCTCCACTGGATTCCAAGCTATTCTTAAAATCCGATCAGTCAGCACTTCATGTTTATAATCATGCTCAGCTCTCACGAGCTCTCTTCCTTTTATTTCCTCCTTTTGTTCTTTTCTCTAAAGAATACGTGTACTTCCGTAAATTTATGGGCATCTTTTAGCCAGGGGACCTGCTTCGTACATAAATACTGGTATATGTAGGATTAGATTTCTATGAGTATCAACAGCCAAAGCACAAAGTCACTGTATTCCAAATCTATATATATATAAAAGTGAAATACTACGCAAGAATCATCACAAAGTCTCCAGAACCATAAAGCCTACAAACTCGAAATTTGGCACGTTTGTTCCTCTTGGCTTCTAGATGCTCACTAAGAAAGTGACCATCAGAGCATTAGCATTTTGTATATTATTATTAACACGCTCTGATGCTAAGGAGTTTAGTCCCCCTCCCCACTGGAAAAGAAATCTGTTCCAAATGCAAAACACAAGCTGAGGAGAGGAGTTTCAGTTTCAGTTTTAGTTTCACAGCAGCAAGCAGCTTTAGTACAGAACAGTTGAACTAAGCCACGCCTAGGCTCCTTGCTGTCTCCTCCTTGCTCACACAGCAAATACTGTTTCAGTTTCCATGTTTCAGTTTCCAAGCAGCCCTCAACTCTCACACACTGACAGGATGCTAGCCAGATGAATACCAGTGGATGCTGGTAGGCAGAGGCACAATTTTCCCCCCTTATTTTCCTCCCCAAAAACTAAACCCGATCATAGTTTCATAGCGAAGCACGGGAATAGAGCTAGTAAATCACATTTCTTAAAATCCAGCTATTCTTTTTTTCATATTAATTTGTCTATCTGTATCTCTCCTACCTTACTCAGTTTCAAATACAGCTTTAATTTACTAAAACTTGATAAATAGCTGAAAACAGATTTAGGAACATTCTAAAAATCTACATGGTATGCCCATCATTTTGATCAGGAAAACTCAATGATTTTCACGCAGGTTGAGGATCACTTTTAATCTCCGAGTTGGGCTTGGATCTGTATTCTAAGAAAGGCACATTCTAAACTGGAGTGACAGCAATTGATTCAGGATGAATTAATGATCATTTCCCCCTTAAAAACTTTGGAAGGAGTCCTGGAAAAGGAATTAAGTCTTCAGATATGGCCAGTTGCCACCCTGGCGGCCTCAAATGGTGGCATCTTTTCTAGGGAACGATGCTTGTTTTACATTGTGCCCTTGTGTGATTGCCATTGAATTGTCGGTAAACTTGTGAAGCCACCGCTCTTGCTAATGGACCAGGCGATGAATTTGCATGGAGCGGATTGGCATCTAGGGGAGCAAAAACATGGAAACCCCCCCCCCCCCAAATCAATACGAATGGATTGAGTGACAATTGATTGATATATTTAGACACAGTCCAAGGCATAAAATGTGCTGTGTTTTCAAAGAGCCGAAGTCAAAGAGTGAAGGAGACGTGGTTATCCCAAATTTACCAGCCTTTTTGCAGCTGGCCGTTTTGGGAGTGTGTTCTGTCTAATTACGGGGAATGAGGATTAATTTGATTTTTAAATGGTTTCAACAGGTGAGAGGATCTTATTACGGTAATGTGCTCTCTAAGGCAGCAGCCACTTATCAATCTGGGATAAATATAGTCTTGTCGCTGCCTATTAGCGCATCTCTAAAGAGACGCCATTTTGCCATCTCCATTCTTGCCCTTTCAATGGTGGAGGAAGGAAGAGCATATTGATAGCTTTTTCTTTTCTTTTCTTTTCTTTTCTTTTCTTTCTTTCTTTTCTTTTCTTTTCTTTTCTTTCTTTTCTTTCTTTTCTTTTCTTTTCTTTTCTTTTCTTTTCTTTTCTTTTCTTTTCTCCACACAGTACCGGAGTGTCCTCCCAACAGTCAGTACCAGCAATGTGGAACAGCCTGCCCAGCCACCTGCCTAGATGAACAAACTCAACAGCAGCTCCTCTGCCCAGCGGTGTGCGTAGAAGGTTGTCAATGCCTACCAGGTTATGTGCTGAGCCAGGGCAAATGCATCCCTAAGTCCAGTTGTGGATGTCGGCATGAAGGCTACCTCTATGCGCCCAATGAGGTTTTCTGGGCCGACGATAAGTGCACAACGAGATGTGTGTGCAACCCAGCCACGAATCGGGTTGAGTGCACCCAACAAGCTTGCAAATCCTCAGAAAAATGCCTGGTTATAAAAGGGGTGAGGGACTGCTACCCTATTGACTTTGTTAGCTGCCAAATTCATGGTGATCCCCACTACTTGACCTTCGACAAGTATAAATTTGATTTCCAAGGACCCTGCGCCTACGTCCTCACTGAAGTGTGTGAAAAACCCATGGATCTGAACTGGTTTGGTGTTTATGTCCAGAATGAATATCGGGGAAACCGTGCTGTGTCCTGGACCCGGAGTGTACAAATCAACGTCCACGGCATTGAGATCATAATCAGTAGACAATATCCTGGGAAAGTCTTGGTAAGTTTGGGTAGTATCTGGTTATTACAACCTTGATCCAGGGGTGGGATTCAAAAATCCCAGCAACCGATTCACTGCCCGGTTGCTAGGTGGGTGTGGCCTACCGGAACTTCTGGGACGGCCATTTTTTTTTACCTTCCCAAGGGTCTGGAGGCCTCCCACGGGCCTCTGAGAGGGCGAAAATGGCCTCACCCTGGCTCTGGAGGCCCATCGTAAGCCTGAAAGAGGCCCGTTTTCAGACTTCCAGTGCTTCTGGGAGGGCCATTTTTCACCTTCCCAAGGGTCCAGAGGCGTCCCCTGGGCCTCTGGGAGGGCGAAAATGGCTTCCTCCAGGCTCTGGAGGCCCTCCGGAAGCCAGAAACTGGCCCATTTCCGCACTTCCGGAAGGCCCATTTTTCCCCCTCCCAGAGCCTCTGCGCAGACCCTGCACTTACCTGCATGGAAAATGGACCGTGTGGAGACTCCTGGGAGGGGCGGGAGGGGCAGGGCCAGCCGGTCAGTTCAAATACCAGTTCAGCAAACCAGATGAAAACTTAACATCCGGTTCATTCGAACTGGTCAAACTGGTAGAATCCCACCCCTGCCTTGATCTCTCTTTAATGCTCCTTTTATAAACAGAGTCCTACGAAGGACTGGTGATGCCTGAGGCCTCTAAAATCAACCCAACCTGCCATTTCTATCTTTCAATCAAACCAAAAAGATAACTAGTGGATGCCATAATGGCAGCACTTAGACTTGTATCCTGCTTCATAGTGGTACCATTTTTATAGCTCTCTCTAAGTGGTTTACATAGTCAGCATAATTTCCACCCCTCCCCCCCAACAGGCTGGGTCCTCATTTTACTGACCTCGGAAGGATGAAAGGCTGAGTCCACCTTGAGCTAGTCAGAATTGAACTCCTGGCAATGAGCAGAGTCAACCTGCAATATTGCATTCTAACCGCTGTGTTACCCGGCTGCAAATAAACTAGTGGGTTTCATTGAACACAAATAATCCAGATCTGCTGGAGTAGTTTGGCTTTGAGGACCATATAAATTGCCACATTGGGGGACCTATAGAAAGTGGTGCAGATTTATATGTACCTCTAAAATTTACACCTCTGTACAAGCATTTTATGCTTATACATACACTGATACATTACACATCCCATCCTTTTTCTGGAGAATAACTCATTTCTGATTTCTTGTCACAATATTTCACCTGTAACACAACTGAACAGCTTCAGATAGATATGCAGCTGGTTGCTGTTCTCCTATTAATAATCTTAGAATGCCATCATTATTTTATCTGCAGGCCAACTGGTTGTATCTATCCATTAGGAACCCTGGTGGCACAGTGGTTAGAATGCAGCATTGCAGACTAACTCTGTCCGCAATCTGGAGTTCAATCCTGACTGGCTCAAAGTTGACTCATCCTTCCATCCTTCCGAGGTTGATAAAATTTGGACTCAGATTGTTGGCAATATGTTGACATTGCAAACTACCCAGAAAGTGCTGTAAAGCACCATGGGGTAGTACATAAATCTAAGTGCTATAATATTGCTATAAATCATTTGAGTATCTAGAGAATGGAGAAGAGCATTTTGTAGGACCCCAAGGTGGATACTTGGCTTCTAAGCTATAGAAGTGTCCTTCTGTTGGTGCAGGGAGATTCCATGTCCTTTTTTGGGGGAGGGGAAGGAAGGCTCCACTACCAGGCATCAGGGGCAACATATGCACATTAAAGTACGTAGATGCACATAAAGAAATGACCCCCAAATTTCCAATCCTATGATCTCACCAAGTCTCTGCTCCAACCATTGTTGCCTTCTGCTATTGTGGGGAGAAAAATGACAAAAATGCTATGGTCTCTGGTAAAAAAAATAATCCTCTATTTCTGCTGTTATGCAGACCCTGAGAAGGATAGAAGAGATGAGAGATAGTCTTTGACACGACTGGTCCCCCCCCCCCCATCATTGCTCCTTTTCATTGACTTAACGTAAGCATCCCATTTCTCCTTCATAGGTTGGCGGTATATTGACCTGCCTGCCTTATAATGCTGTTGGAAACAGAGTCAAGATATATCGGAAAGGCCCCAGTGCTGTGGTCGAAACTGATTTTGGCCTCACAGTCAGCTTTAATTGGGACCACCAACTCACAGTCACCGTACCCGGCACATATAGAAATACACTCTGTGGCCTATGTGGGAATTTCAACAACATACCTGCGGATGACGCTCTTGTGCCCGGAGGGATCCTCGTTCCCAAAATCCCCGTGTTTGGTGCTAAAGGCACCAAGGCAGTTGACCCAAGCTGCAAACAAGTCGTAGATCCCGCCTGCCCTGGAGTGGACATCTTAGCAAAACAGCAGCGGGCTTCAGGACGGGAATGTGGTCTCATCGTAGCCGTCAACGGGCCTTTCAGAGAATGCCACGGCCAGGTGGATCAAGAAGCCGCCTTCCAGGACTGCATCTATGACTCCTGTTTCCTCAAGGGACGCTACGCCTTTGTCTGCGCAGCCATCGCCAATTATGCCTTGGCCTGCCAAGCTGCTGGCATCACCATATACCCCTGGAGAACTCCAACCTTTTGCCGTGAGTCTCTCGGATGTAAACTGGGCGCTTTGACTTGGGGAAGAAAAGTCTGTTCTAATGGGATTGGGAAAACCAGACGTAGAGAAAGGAGTCAGTGTACACAAGAGAAGAAATGCTTCATGCTTAGACCAACTAATCAAGCAGTTTAGTCACCTGAAGGTTGCAATTTTACTGCAGAAGAAGTACCAAGGAGAGCTTATCTTTCCAGATGCAAGGGTTGGGCCATTGCAGGTAGTCCTCAACCTATGACTTTTAATCGAGCCACAAATTTTTATAGCTAAGCGAAATAGTTGTTAAGTGTGTTTTGCCCCATTTCATCCCTTTTGTTGTTAAATGAATCACTGTGGTTGTTAAGTGAGTAATGCAGTTCTTAAGTGGACCTGGTACTTCCCCATTGACTTTGTGTCAGGGTTCCAAGTAATACACCCATGGCAAACAGAACTCCGAGGCAGGATGATTGCTCAAAGAAGAGTTTTATTTGGTATATCATATTGGCACGGACTGGTGAAAACCAACTCTAAATGTTCCCGCGGTTTTCACCTAATTAAAAGTGAAAGTTTTCTCCTTTCCCCAAACAATCAGTCATATGGTCCAATCAGGGTTCCGTCTGGTTGCCTGGTAACTTCACTCCTCCTCTCTCTGGCCCCCTGTGAGAATGTCCTTGGTTCCCAGGAGAAAGTATTTTGTTTTGGCTACAAACTCCATCTACCTCTATTCCCCCCACCCTATCCCTCAGCTCCAGTGTGGCAACATTGAAGCCTCAAAATGGCCTCGGTCAGTTCAGCTTCAGGGTTGACACTTTGCTTGTCAGAAGGTCACAAAAGTGATCACCTGACCCTGGGACACTGCGACCGTCATAAATACGAACCAGTTGCCAAAGTGCGAATTTTGATCACATGACCATGGGGATGCTGCAACAGTCATAAGTGTGAAAAACGTTTATAAGTTTTTTCAGTGCGGTTGTAACTTCGAATGGTCACTAAACAGACCATGGTAACTTGAGGACTACCTGTATTTTTTTTACCCTTTCTTGTTCTTCTGCAAGGACTGAGTTTTAGTCCCGTGCCCCATTACCTCTCTTGCATGACTAACTTATTCCTTCTGTTCTCGTTTTCAGCTCCGCGTTGTTCTGCCAACAGTCACTATGAACTTTGTGCTAAACAATGTGACCAGGCTTGTAGCAGCCTCTATTTCCCAGCTCCTTGCCCCACCAAGTGTCAAGAGAATTGTGTCTGCAATGACAACTTCGTTCGGAGTAACGACGCCTGTGTACCGATGGCGAAGTGTGGCTGCCTCCATCAAGGGCGCTACTATCCGGTCTCCGAAGTGTTCTATCCAACTTGCCAAGAACGTTGTGTCTGCCAGGCTGGTGGCAAAGTGGTGTGTGAAGTGACCCCTTGTGGTCCCAATGAAGTATGCCAGCTACAAGATGGACACCAGAAATGCTACCCCACTGGAAGTGCCACCTGTTCTCTTGTTGGAGATCTCTACCTCACTTTTGATGGGCTGCCCTTCAACTTCCAAGGCACCTGCTCTTACATCCTAAGCAAGTCGGTGTTTACCGCAAAGGTTGCGAACCTGCCACCTTTTACTGTAGTGGTACAGAATCAGGTCTCGGGGAATGGAAACATCGCAGTGCCCAAGGTGGTCACGGTGGAGACGTTGAACTTTGCACTTTCTCTGTTGCAAGACAAGTGGGGATATGCACAGGTGGGTTCCTGAATCCTGTTCACTGGAGGAGATAAGTGTGTGGAGTCGTGGCGGCGATAGCTTTCTCTCTCCGCTGGGGAAAATAGAACCCATGTAGAATAATCTTCACCGCTGGAAGCTTTCCAGAAGAGACAGGATAGCTATCTGTCAGGAAATGACAAAGGAACTCCTGCTTGAGCAGTGGGTTGGACTAGATGACCTACAAGGTCCCTTCCAACTCTGTTATTCTAAATATTAGGTGTAATTACTTAGGTGACTTACAGAGTAAGTGTCCAGTGTCCCATTCTGCGCGAATGAAAGCAGAGGTGGTATTCAGCAGGTTCTGACCAGTTGTAGAGAACTGGTAGGAGAAATTTTGAGTAGTTCAGAGAGCCAGCAAATACCACCTCTGACTGGCCCTGCCCCCATCTATTCTCTGTATCCCGAGTCCCAGCTGATCAGCTGGGTCTTCTTTGGTTGCCCTGCACAGGAGAACGGAGCTGGAAAGCAGGTTAGTGGGGTGGGGAGGGTATCTTTCCCCTGGAGTGGAGTGGGAATGGAGATTTTACAGTATCCTTTCCCCTGCCACGCCCACCAACCCACACACACCAAGCCATGCCACGCCCATCAAGCCACACCCACAGAACCAGTAGTAATTTTTTTTTTAATCCTACCATTGAATGTATATGGTATTTCAAAATGTATATGGATATTTCTCAATTTTCCAGGTCATGGTTGTTCCAAAGGTGTTTTTCCAAAGGCAACTCAAATCAATTTCGCAGCCAACCAAAGCCAGCACTGACCCACAACCAACCTGCACAACGCTCCCTTCCCCCACCAACCAGCACTTCATCTCCCAATGACCCTCACCTGGCGTGACCTCCCCATTGCAGGACCCATCATCAAACC